TGGATACTGATTGTACCTATCCCACGGGGACCTCTTGAGGACTAAAGTCTTGAGGACCTCGACAGGCATAGCGAAAGCGCTAGGTCAGTGTTGGCTAATTTTAGTCTAGATGGCCTCGGAATACAACGGAAGAATCCTTTGCTTCTGTGATGGGGGTGGTGTCCAAGGTAAGGAGTACCAGGCCTGTCTCCTTGAGCTTTGAGGCAGGCACACACATGTGCACTCCACACCCACCGCCCAGGTGCAGCTGAAACCTATCAGGTGTGCAGAGGGCTCCTCGAGGTGCTGCAAGGACAGCATTAAGCCAATGAAAGGACTGTGCCTCTGCTCAGGCAGGGCCCCCACGGGGACGGGAGGCAGCTGTAACCCCACAGCCCTGAAGACGGCACACTGGCAAGGCCCAGGACTGTGGAGCAGTGTCCAGGGGAGAGAAGCCTACCCTGTGCCAGCAGGAAACCTCAGAGGCACAAGGTAGGTGGAGGCGTGCCTGTTGCTAAGCAACAACCAGCCCACTTACCCCCCCCCCCTTCCCCCACTCCATGGGGACGGCCCAGCAAGTCCCAGGGGCGCAGTGTGTATCAGAGAAGCCTCCCTGAAAACAATTGCCTGGATTTTAATTAAAGTTCAGCAGGAGGGACTGGAAGTGGGGCAGTGAGCAGGAGCCAGAAAGCACGGGAGAGGCACTGTGGCTGCTGGAATATTTAGAAAAATCACAAAACAGAATCCACTGCCATCCCTTCCTACCTTGAAATGTAAGCCATTTATGTTTCTTTCCTTCCGCAACATTAAAAATTGAGCTTGTCTTCACACTTCAGGGCACCCACGAATCTAGTGGGAAGCCTGGTAAGTGCAGGCGATTACATTTTTAAAAATGATCTTAAATAGCTGACGTCTTTCACTTTTCTCAAGATTACTAGGCTGGTACCCATTTCACCTCCTCCAAGAGCTGTGGGTAGAGAAAATATATGGGAATCCAAAATAATAATGGTATTTCAACCAGAGCCCTGTTGTGATTTAACGGGCTTGCAAAACACCCAAAGAAGAGTGAATATTATATACGTTTGAATGATGCAAAGTATTATATTTTAAGGTATGTTGAAAATTATACGAATAAACAGCCCTATTTGAAGTGCGTTACTATGCAAAACTCATTTTGTGAGAGAAGGCTGCCTGACTACAGGAAGTGCCCAATATTTTAAACAGAATTTTTGAAAATGCTACATGTCAGTCATAGATGGAATGGGGAGTTAAGAGTTGCTTTCACTTGAGTATGCATTTCTGAATGCAAAACAAATGTATTCCCGTTTGGATAGTTTGAGATACCCTGTGCATAGTATCGTGACCCTGACTATCAGCATGTCTCTATGTGTTTTGCACAAACCTAATATTTGAAAAATGATAGCTACCTCCCAGATCCTGGGAAGAATTCATAAATCTCCAAGGTCTGTGTATATTATTTCTAACCAGGTCAAGTGTCCTGAGGCCCTCAGTATGCTTTAATCACCTTTTCTGTTTTTAGTTTCTCAGCTCATCTGTCACATGGAAAATGTGATAATTAGAAATATAGGAAGATGTTTTGCAAAACACCTTGGAGAACTGGACTGTGATTATTCAAAGAGGTTTTGAATCCATAATTGTAGTCTTATGAACTCACTGGTTGCATTTGTATTTTCAGTGTTATAAATAGCTGTGACTTGTCAGCACTGATTTTACCATAAATTCTTCATTCTGTAGATGTTGATTCTAACCAGGCTCAGAGTGAGGACTGAAAGTGACTCAATTCTCTAAACCTTTTCTCTTCTAGACAAGGACCATGCCATTGCCAGGTAAACACCCCGCCTGCCCATTCACTCAGGTGCCCTGGTGGAGGCCTGTGACACCAAGACAGCTCACCCGAGGCTACAGATGCTCACCAAGTGTCTGCTGTTGCATCTTGGGTGTGAGTGCAGAAAAACAAGGGAATGTGTGAAAAATACAGCAAATACTTGTTATGCCAAAGTGTGAGCTTCAGCTAAACTAAGCATATGTAACTAAGTATAATGGGGAGACCAGTGAACTAAAATGAGTAGAGATGGAACTTCACTGAAAAAAAAAAAAAATCTAGATTGGATTCCCCATAAAACGTGTATTTGATTTTTAAAAAAAAAAAATCACTCCTATTTCACACAAAGCTACTCAGGTATTTAGCTTCCATCCCCCTAAATAAACTGATCTGCAGTACACTCTGGGAAGATGTTTATTCAGTCATCCACCCAGGAACTTTCTGTGACTTAGCATGTATTAAGTGCGACTTTGAATGTATTGAATGTGCGTTGGGCACCTCCTTGCCCAGTTTAGTCTGGGGCACAGGTCTAGTAGAGTGATTTGGGTTATATTCGGGGTGAGGGCAGAGGGCTGCAGGAAAGCAAAGGAAGGGCCTTTTGCCCAGATGGGTCGTCCAGGACGACTTCCCAGAGGAGCCCGAGTATCGGGGCCAAATCCTGAAGGAATATAAATAGTCAGAAATCAAGGTGCTTATTTGCAAGCAACGGAAATTAACAATGACTCATTCTTCCAAAACCGGACTTAATAAAGAATAATTAGGTAGTTGAGCAGAGGGCTGAGAGATCTAAAGAACCGTGCTCAATTTTGACTGGCTTGCTGAGGAACATGCTTGCTGAGGAACATGTCCTGGCATTGGGGAAATCGCCACGGCCCTGCATGGCCCGCTGAGGCCACAGCCAGGCCTGGAGATCTCTGTGACCAATGCCACCCTGGAGGAAGATGCTTCTGCCACCAGCCCCACCTCCTTCTACAAGTGGGTGATTGAATCAGAGATCCATGAGGTGGAAGCTGGACACACCTGCATGTAGCTGCAAGGGAAGCTGCAAGTTTATGTTTTTGAGTGTTCCAAATATAGCCAAGTGTGCTCAGGACCCAGAGCACCCAGAAAACATGGCAAAGTCACTATCTCAGTGTGGCGGGGGGGGGAAGGGGGGAGTACAGGTAGAAACACCACAAGTGCGCCCGCTCAGTCCTAAACTGTATTGTGGGATTGAGATTGCCAGTCCCAGGGGTGTGGGGCCAACATAAAGGAAGCTGTCCACCTGAACCCTTTGTGTGCTCTGGGCAACACCGATTCCTACCAGCCAGCGATGATGGAGACCCCTGTGTTCCAAGAGCAATTACATTAATTTCAAGAAAATAGATACCCAGTTACCCAATGGTCACACTGTCCCTTAGGGGTGAGTGTTCAGGGAGGGAGCCATTGTTCTCTGTACAGATACGTATTCGAGGTTTTATTTAAAGTTTGGTTGGTATGGAAAAGAAACACCCACACACTTAAGAGGTCAAAATATCCAAATAAAATTTACTGCAACTTCTGTAGAATTTAATTTGTGCTACAAGACATGTTGCATAGGAAACTGTTTTAAGCCCCTGAGGAAAAATATCCATGGTTTAAGGTGCAATTGGTTTTGTTTCTTTTTTGGGGGAGAAAGAGGAGAGAGTATCTCCAGAAAGAATGATGGTTGAGAGTTGAAAAGCTGAATTTAAGGTTATCTCGTGTGATGATTGGGGAATTGTGTGTCTCAGTTCTTGCAGCATAAAATACGTAGTGTTTTTATTTTTTGGTATCGTTTTTTTCCCTAGCCAGTTGATCTTCAGTATCTGAATCAATAGATACACAAGAATGTTTCAGCCCCATAAGGGACTATACATTGATTATAGAAGGTAATTATAGTGTTTCAAGAAAGCAGATTTAGAGAATGAGACTGGGATTGCCTGGTGCCCGTCTTGGCACATTCCTGGGGACTCCAGTCGTGCCCCTTGCTCCGTCTGAGATGCCACAACGACAGTGCAGTCGTAGAATTCAACCCAGCAAGTCGATCTGCAACCATCAAGGTGATCAATGCAACATTCCACCAGGCCCCAGACTTTATGTGGGAAGTATTTCATGTTCAGAAAATGTTCATCCTGCTTAATCTCTATAGTGTAAATAAACACGGTTTCCCCACACTACTCATGCCCAAGGAGACATGGGTATAACCAGGAAGGGAGAGGGACCACATGTGGGATGAAATGAAGCGGAGAGTTTGGCAAGTGGCCGCCGGCACAGGCTGTCCTTGTGGCGAAGTTTCCTTCCTGACCACACAGAAGGGGAGTCTTGCAGGGACCAGGACCAGCTCAATAGGAACTGCAATGGCTCTTCTGAATGAGCAGGGGCCACAGAGAATGCCAACTCCCAGCTGCTTCCTCATACCAAGGGCACCAGGCAGACTTAACTTTGCCCACAGCACGGTCCACGTGCCCTGTGGCTGGTCACCTTCTGCACCATGAGGCCAAGATACAGAAGATAAGAAAGGAGGGGAGAAAGGACCCAGGGCGTTCTCAGAAAGAATGGGCTTGGGCGACACTCATTTACCTAAAACCACGGCTCCTATTTGATTTATGTTTGAACAGGTACGGAGTGAAAGAAGGTCCAACGCGCGAATAAGCGTCTTCCTGTTGAAATGTGTGTGTGTGTCTGGGAACAAGAAATGCCCCCCGAGTTCTTTTAAATACATATATACATCTGTAACATAATTTAAAAAGGTCTTCAGAGAACATAAAAACCTTAACAGCGTCTTCCCCTCTAAGTTTTGTTTTTACCTATATGGTCGGTTAAAAAAAAAAAAAAAATTAGATGCCACGTTTCTCATATGTCCCCTCCTCCCCATACTTTAAAAAAGTGATTTTAAATTTAAAGGTATACTTAAGAAATAGAAAGCTATTTGATTGGCAATGACCTGCAGTAGAAATTCCCTTCAGGCCTCCCCTGCTCTGAGATGGAGATGGCAGGTGGAGCACTGGGTGTGCTTGGTCCTCAGTGCGGGGCCATCGAGCGACCCCCATCAGTCTGAGCAGCCGGCCCTCCCTCCCTCCCTTCCTCCCCAGCAACACGTGGCTGCACAGGCATCTGGGATAGACGGGGACATTCGGGGGCACGGGCCCCAGGGCAGCAGCAGGCAGGGGGCGCCTGTTCAAATCACAAAGTCGTCCTGGTCGGCAGGGCTGAAGGCAGCCGCTCGCAGGATGTCCAGGGTGTTCACAAGGATGAGGGTGCCCGTGAGGTGCTTCCAGCGCTTGGTGATGGGGTTCTTCATCCTGTCCAGGCCGGTGTGCAGCTCCTGGATGACGTCCCGGTAGCTGTCCCCGATCTGGTGGCTCCAGGTCAGCAGAAAGTCATACGCGGGCTTCCACATGGCCTGCACAGGAAGGAGGGAGAAAGGACAGAGTGGGGGGCAGTCAGACATTCGGCCGGGTTGCCAGCTACAGCTCCTCTGTGCGTTACTTACACTGCTTGGTAAGAGCAGAGCAAATCGGAGGCACAGGGGACCGTCTCGGTCCCAGCCAGCATGTTGCAGAGGGATCTGCATTTTGTTCGAGTAGGTCGTAGCCTGTGGTGCCTCAGCTAACAGGAAGGATTTCTCTCCTTACACTCCCTGTAGCACTTTCTATCGCGGCCATTTATTTAGAATTTCTCCCTATTAACAACAAAGGACACCCTTATCTAGCCAGTTTGGCTCAGCGGGTAGAGCATCAGTTGGCGGACTGAACCAGGGTCCCTGGTTCGATTCCAGTCAAGGGCACATGACTGGATTGTGGGCTCAATCCCCAGTCGACGGCATGCAGAAGGCAGCTGATCAATGATTCTCTCTCACCACTGCATGTTTCTCTCTCTCCCTCTCTCTTCCTCTTTGAAATCAATAAAAATATTTTAAAAGAAAAAAATAAAGGACACCCTTATGCTTGGCACTTTCCCCATTCCTCGGTCTCCGGTAGCTTAAAGCGGCCTCCATGAACAGGTGAGAAAAAGAACTTCTGAGCAGGAACCCGGCCCATGCTGGCCCACGCCACACATACAACATGCCAAGTATTCGTGCAGCAGGGGCGGATAGAGGCCAGAACAGAGCGGACCCCAAGGGGCCCAGTCACCCATCATTCCCTCCAACGGAAGGTCATTTAACATTGGGATGAGCAAGGGACGGGCAGGCCTGCCGATGTCCAACGCCCCAGCCCCCTTTCACGGCAGCGAGGCCTTGCCAGCGCCAGAGCGGGAGTCATGACTAAAGACCCCAAGAAGGAGGAGACCTGCCCACTCGGTGAGGGCCTACTGTGTGCTGGGCACGCGCTTTCATGTCTAACTCCTTTTACCCTCATGAAAACACTACCAAACAGACATTGCTGTGACCGAGTGTTACAGGGTGAGGGAAGGGCTGTCCACTCACCTCGCTGTCCACGACCCCGTTCCTGTCCCGGTGGGGAGACTCGTAGGCGTCCATCTGCTGCTTGGACACCTTGGCGAGCTTCTCGGCCAGCTCTCTCCAGCGCTGCGCTACCTCAACGGCCGTGGTCAGGAGCACGAAGTCCTGGATGAGCCGGACCACCAGGCCCTGGCAGTCCATCTTCAGCAAGGCCTGGAGAGGGGGGGGGGCGGGAAACGGGGAGCACAGTGTGAGGTAGATGGTGGCTGGGGTGCCTGTCGGATGCTCTACCCAAACGTCCTAACGCCTGTAATGCACCCCCGAACCCCTGCATTGCAGCGACTCACAGGACAAAGAAAGTCGATGATGTGTGTGGGGTGGACGTCCCTCCAGAACCTCAGCAATGTGACTGGATTTAGAAGTAGGGCCTTTGCAGGTGTAATTAGGTAACTGAGGTCATCTGGATTGCAGTGGGCCTGCAGGTTCTGGAATATTGTCACAGAACCAACATGGACAAGCACACAGACACGTGGCCAAGAGCGCACCTCCCGGAGTGCTGCAGTGGTTGGACAGAAGCCACACGCCTGTTCACGGACCAGGGACCCACGGCACCTTCCCCGGCCTGAGAGCCGCAGGCCTCCGCGGTGAGCACACGTGGCTGGGAGAGCAGCCTGTGGGAGAGCCTGGGTGGCAAAACCCCAGGGAACTGAGCATCACCACAGCGCACACTCCGATGGAGGACCTGCTTTCTGCTTTTGCTCTTCAGCACTGCAGGATTTCCATGCAAAAGAAGCATTCTCTCTCTTGACAAATCGAAAAATCAATGAGGAAGCAACAAAATCTGGGCAGTGCCAAGGCCACTGTGCAAACAAAGACCCTGAAGCTCTCAAGGTTAGTCTGTGTTTCCTTCCCTGATGGGCACAGAGCAGGAAACACAGAGGGCCTGTTCCCATGACCAAGGTGCAGGTGAGGGGGAGGGAGGGGCTGAAGTGTAGGTGAGGGGGCGGGAAGGGCTGCAGTGGCCCTGCTTACAAGGAGCCGCCAAATGTGAAAGCAGATGCACAAGCTGTGAGGGTGTTCCCAGTCCGCAGCCCTTTGGTTTGACCCATACCTCTCAACTGGCCTACTTGTCTTAACAAGAGTAAACCCGGGGGTGAGTATGAAAACTAGGTCCTCCTGTAGGCACCCTGGCATTCTGAAGGAGAGGCACTCAGAGTGGGCACCCCACTGTCTTCCACCCGAGTGACTCTGAGACTGAGAAGGGGCGAGGGGCGGGGACACACCTGACTTCACACGGGGCAGGAATGGGTCCACCTTGGTTCCCCTCGTGTCCACTGTGACTAAGTGATCCCCCTCAATGCCCTCAGGATATAGAGCAAGTGTTGTCTGGCCCAGGGGGCTCCAGGCCACTCCCGTTGCCCCGTATACTGTTATCTCTTGTCTCCGAGGCCTCAAGCCTCTGCTCCACCCCATCCCATGCGCCTCTTTTCCCTGGCCCTGGCCCACAGTGTGCCTAGGACCTGACAGCCCCTGCCTCTTGGCTGGCTCCTGCACTCCCTTTGGCATCCCCCTTTGCCTTCCCCTGGTTCACCCAGGCCAAGGAGGTCCTTTCCTTCAGGACCCGCTACAAGCCCACTCTGCTCTCCTAACGGTTCCCCCGTCTTCCTCAAGTAACAGGCCCGAGTTCTTCAAAAGCCCAGCCCCCAGCATCCCCTCTACGCACACAGCAGGCGCCCAAGGAATGTTTAATGCCTGTGAGTACCTGTGCCCACTCCTGCTGTTTGCCGTGGCTCTCCCTGGCTGAGTTTTAAAAGCTGCAGCCACGCACCTGCCACCATTTACCTGTCCTGCCTTTGACAACAGAATTTGTCTTCAAAAGCTCTTCCAATGTGTGGTGCCCACTCCCTCACCTGCCTGACCCATAAGTCCCACCAGCACAGGGACCCCCGGGGGCTTCGTCCACTCTGCTGTGTCCGGCAGCACCACCCCTCCCCCAGCTTTCAATATGGTCTGGGGGCCTCATCGAAAGGGGATGATCACAGACAGGCATGGCTTCTGCTGGAGAGCTAGGCGGACTGGGGACAGGAGGGCCATTCTCTGTGGTCACAGGCCGTGTGGGTGACAAAGGGCAGGCCAAGGACCCCGGGAGGTCCACGCACACAACACACCTCCCAGACCACTGAGGTGAAAAACACGCAGCCACAAGAGGGACCGGAACAAAAGAACAGAAGCACGGTGGTCTGACCACAGGAGGCCGCATTAATTCACCCATCATTCATTCACTTATTCACCACAGGTCTGAGTTCACCCATGATTCATTCACTCATCCACCACAGGTCTGAGTGTTTCCTCTGTGCCAGGCCCTTTCTCCCGTGGATTTTGTCTTCAATTAGGGCAACAGGACACAGGAACCCAAGTAAACAAGGCCATTTCAGATTCTGGAAAGCACCGTGGAGACAGTATCACGGAGGACGAGGTGCAGTGACCTACAGGCACAAGGTGGCTCTCTAGGGAGTTGCGGGAAAGCTCTTACAAGATGAGGTTTGGGCTGGTCGCTGAAGGAGTCGAAAGCCCAGCCACGTGGAATCGGGGGAAAGAGAATTCCAGGCCGAGGAAACTACAGGTGCGCAATCTGAGCAGGAGCAAGCTAGGTATGTGCAGGATGCAACCACAGGCCTGAGTGGCGAGCGAGCAAGAAGCATGCGTGGTCCACACTGATGTGAGATGCGGGGGGACCAGGTCTTAAGGTCAGGGGCCTGGACCCCATTCTGATAGTGGTGGACAGATGGACCTTTTTCATTCTCATCTCCCGGCAAACCTGCTGTTCTAAACCTTCCTTCTCCCTAATTCAGTGGTCGGCAAACTCATTAGTCAACAGAGCCAAATATCAACAGTAAAACGATTGAGATTTCTTTTGAGAGCCAAATTTTTTAAACTTAAAACTTCTTCTAATGCCACTTCTTCAAAATAGACTCGCCCACGCCGTGGTATTTTGTGGAAGAGCCACACTCAAGGGGCCAAAGAGCCGCAGTTTTCCGGCCATGGCCCTAATTCATTTAATCACGACTTCCAAACAAGGCACCCTCACTAAACAAACTGCCTCACAAGGAGAGGTGAGGCGGTGTGGTCTGGCCGTGAGGGGGAGGGCGGGGGTCTGGCTGTGAGGTGGGGCGGGTTAGATGCTTGGTTGATGCTGTAGGAAACTCCTCTGCTCAGCGATGTCTAAGTCCCTGGAAATGAAACACCTGGTTTGCAGCGACTCCTCCAACATTCCGGAATAAGCCAGCCTGTGGTTTCTAGAAGTCGGGCCAGCCATTCAGACCTGCGGCTCAGAGGTGAGGAGGGGAAACCGGTTTCACTTCAGCCCAAGCCAACCTCCCCCGGGCACCTTCCTGCCACTTCCTCCTCCTGGGACTCTGGGAGCCACGGTGGGTGCGGGGTGGGGGAAGGGGAGGGTCCCGGACACACACGGGCCCCCCATCTGCATACACACTAACCTCAGGAAGCCAACTGAAAAATCTATTCTGGGTTCCCGGAGGTGAGAAAAAAGGAGCCCTCACTGAAGTCTTCTGAAAAGCAACAAGGAAATGAGAGAAAAGCCACCTCCTCAGACAGGTTTCCACAGCCGGAAGGAGCTGCCCGGGTCGGTTCATTTTCCTCCTGTGCCCAGGCCAGGCGAGCGCTTCTCAGCTGTCACGAAGGCACAATCAATTGTTTCTGCTCCATGAAAGCACATAATTCCCTGATCCAGGGAGAATGCCAGCCTCAGGCTGGTGAGAGGGAAGCTCGGGCCCTGCCCACGGTGAGGTGGATCCAAGGAGACGGGCAGCTCGAGCTGCACGGGGACTGACTCTGCAGGCGGGCGAGGGAGCTGGGCCCCGAGGGAGGGACCTGGGCATCACCTGGGAAGCTTTCCTGCAGCCACGCTCACCCTCAGCCACGACAACCACATCCTCTCCACGGACGCTGCCAATGCCCAATGACCTCCGGGTTGCCAAGGTCACCCCTCTACCTGCCACTTCCAGTTCCCGCTCACTCCTGGGGGCAGCACCAGGTTCCCCTTCTGCTCCACGTGACCAGCACTTTATGCTATCGTGGGTCACTTCTCAGGGGGCCTGTGTCACGCCCTACTTCCTCTGCCGCAGTGGCTGTGGCACTGTGGACTGTAACCCTCTGTCCCCCCGGCTCCAGGGGGCAGCAAAGAGACGTGTGTGCAATGAATCCACCTCAATGCACACTCATGTCAATGCGGGCAACCTCAGAGGCACCTGGCTCACCTGTTCCCAGAGGTGCAGACACGGAATGGCAGGTGCTGTGGGGAAGGAGGGGTAGAAGGGGCAGAAATGTCAGGAGTGCTGAGTCACACCTCACCCAATTTAGAAGGTGAAAGGCTGTGTGGGGTGGGGGGAGCCAGGAAGAGAGGCATGTGGCCAATCACACAGGCGTTCCCACAGGACATCATATCAGGGGGCCCAGGAGGGAGCTGAGATGGCTCCTAGTATCCCAGGGAGTCCGCCAGGTAATGGCAGCACAGACGTGACGAGAGAGATGCCAAAAGAAAGGTATTACTAAGCTTCTCTGGGGCCACTCCCAGGACTTATCCAACAGTGAAGAGGGGGGCTGCCAGTGAAGAGGGTGTGGGCTGGGGCTGAGCCCAGGCCTGCCGGTGCCGTGAAAGGCCAGTGCATGCTTCCTGGGTGGCCGGTGTATCCCGTAGTGTGACACCAACCTCTCCCTTCTAACTTCTTTGTATTCCAATTCCTGGTTATGCTGGCAAAACCAAGGCTGTCCTGGCCCCCGACTCAAACGCACCAGGAAAGGAGGAAGAGGAAACAATACAAAGACATGGTGGAACCTTCAAGTCAGACACAGAGGGAAAAACTCACTAACATAAAGCCAGGTTTGGGGGCAATGGTTCTTAAAACGTTGGAGTCAGGCGGCTCTCCTAGGGAAGCTGAAGAAAGACAGACCTTCTCCCCAGAGGTTTATAGAGAGGTGATTGGAGCACAGGCCCTGGGTGTCCACGTTCCACTGGGCACGCAGAGGCCCATCCTGAGACCTCTGCGGAGCCCCCAACTCAGCAGGAAAAGAGAGCTGAGCTGTTTGGGGAGCCCCCATGCGAACGCCTCTCTCCAGATGCATTTCCTAAAACCCTGTCCTTGCACCTGAGGAAGCCCAGATGAGCCCAGATGCCGGTCCAACGGTGCACTGAACCATGTGGCACCCACGTGTGTAAGGAGAAGGCTGGCTTCTGCTCCACGCTCCCAAATCCAGACCCGCCAGGACCTACCATCATGAGCTCCTTCTGGAAGGACTTCCGGTCCTTGTTCTCCGCGTTGTTGCAGTCCTCCTTGAGCTTCTCCAGGACGGACGCCACCCGCTCAGGCTCGCTGTCCAGCTCTGCTCGGCAGAAGAAGGTGAGCGGCAGGTTCCCGTAGCCCAGGGCGTCGGCGAAGGAGCGCCAGCTGCTGATGTTCTCCATGAGCAGCGTCCGGACGGAGGCGTAGATGTAGGTGAGGAACTTGCAGGGCCGGAGGATCTGCTCCAGCAGCACCGAGGTGCTGAGCTCGGGCCCCGCCAGGAGGCTGGGCCGGGCCTTGCCCACCACCAGCACGTTCTTGGCGTGCACCAGGCCCACCTTGCCCTGGTGGTAGCCAATGTACCACTCCTTGGTCCACAGCTGCCCCTTGAGCCGGATCTTCTCCTCGCTGAGCAGGGCGATGGCGTCGCCCTTCTTGTACTCCAGCAGGTAGTGGTTCTTGCTCTGTCGGACGACGGTCTTGAGCAGCTTGCCGAACTTGAGGCTGGACACGGGGCGGTCCTGGAAGGTGGGGTACTTGGTGGTGGCGGCGAACGGGGACAGGATGATCTTCCCGACCTCGTTCTTCTTGAGGAACCTTCTCTGCCCGGACGGCTTGATGGCACTTTTGGGGGGCGGCTGGGGGGTCTGGACGCAGAACTGGGTGAGGATGGCCTCCTGGTCGTCCTTCACCTGGACCCTCAGGGTGAAGTCGGAGAGCTCGCCGGGGTTCTGGCAGGCGATGGGGAAGATGAGGCGGCTCACCTTGCCCAGCTTCATCTGGAACCCTCTCACGACCTTGGCCTGTTCGCCGGCTCTGACCTCGTAGTTGGTCATGTTGGAGAACATGCAGACCTGGAGGTCCTGGGGCCTGGACAAGACGAACTGGTGCTTTCCCCAGAGCTGCAGGGCCACGGGCGCGGGGCTGGGGGCCTGGCGGGTGACCTCGGTGACCAGGAGCGTCTTTGGGGCGCAATCATGCCCGAAGATGGTCACCACCGTCTTGAAGGACGGGTGGATGTGTTTGGGGCCGTAGAGACCCACGGTGACTTTCTTGTTGATGAAGTCCCACACGGTGGAAGGGTAGAGAATGTTCGGCCCGTGCGCCACTATGGCCAGGTACATGCAGGGCTCCAGGTTGTCCAGGGGCACCTGGACCGTGTCCCCGTAGCTGTAGTTGAGGGGGGTGGGGACATAGGGCCCCTCCTTCAGGTCGCTCCTCAGGCACTGGAGGCCCACCGTGCTTTTGCTGAAGATGTCGCTCTTCACCTCGGCGGACACTTTCATCTCCAGGATGATGACGGTTTTCACCTCCAGGGTGCTCAGCTTCACCTCCAGCACGGGGCTGACGGTGCAGCAGCGGTCGCTGTTGAGCTCCAAGGGCGGGTCCAGCAGGGCTTTCATGGAGATCTGCTGGGTCTCCCCCGGGGCCACGTGGCCTTCGGGCACGTGGATGCTGATGCCGGTGTCGGGAAGCTGCACGGAGCCCCCGGAGCTGTCCAGCTTGCACACGATGTTGGTCTCCACGGCCTGGGTCTGGCCCCACCCGGGGCTTTGGCCCAGCAAGTCCAGGTCGTGGCAAGACCGAGCCAGCTTCCGGTGGCTCAGCCAGGCTGCGCGGAAGTCCTCCCGGCTCTGGAACTGCTCGGGGGCCGGGGACTTCAGGCCCGTGAAATACCCCGACGAGTCGGGCGCGTCGGACTTGGCTTGGAGGACGGAGAGTTCCGACAGACTGTAGGAGCGTTTGCTCCGGAAGAAGGGGTTGTCCCGCCTGACTGGCCCCTCGGCGTGGAGCTGGTGTGCGGCCGGCAGCTCGTCCAGGATGTTGCCAGTGCTGTTCGTGGTGGCCGAGCTGGATCCCGTGAAGGAAGACGTGCCCGTGTCAAAGAGCAGCAGGTCCACGGTGCTTCTGGGAGCCAGCTCGTCCACACTGGGCATCACTGGCACCTTCCCGTTCAGAAACGGGTTCGTCTGGACCCCGTTCCAGAAAGGGTTATTACTGTAGGTTCTGTCGGGTCCCTTCTTGTCATCTGTCCATCCTCCCAGCAAATCTAGCTCCTTGGCCACTTCCTCTGGGCTGTCGGGAAGATTGTCGATCATCCCGCTGTCACTCAGCGTGGAGTTCCGGTAGTTGAGGGGCTGCACGTAGGAGGAGGGGATGTAGCCCATCTCCGTGGTGTTGTGGGCATACCACCACTCCCCGCCGGACGTGTCCAAGACGTAGAGGTGGTCGCCCTTGGAGAACTTCAGGGTGGTGAAGTTGTTGGGGCAGTAGTCCTTGATTGCGATCACTTCCTTTGCGTTTCCAAAAGGTGTGGGATTGTCTCCTAGCAAGGCACTGGGAGAAGGCACTGCAAGAAACACACGGAACAGAAGGTGAGGACGAGGCCGTGGGCTGCAGAACACTATCCGACCTAGGGAGGGTGGCCCCAGAAACGAACACACCACATGTAGCCACGAGCCAGCAGCGTGATTCACAGAAACAAACTGGAGTGGGTTTTGGAGTGCAATCAACACACCAACAAGGGTACGGCCGTTTCACCACACTCGGTCACGTCTAGGCAAGGCCATGATGGAAGTCGGTCCACCATCCACAGACATGCAAATCAGCACCACGCCCCTGTGCCTCAAATGTCTCATTTTGACCAAATTATTTCTTTATCTACCTAACTGGCCAGAGAGCTGCTGGCCGCGAAGGGAGCAGACCAGGCGGCCTCAGAGTGTGCCGCAGCGGCCTGTGGGCTACTCTGATCGGAAGACAATCAAGGCCCCAATGACTCAGGCAGAGCTTCTCACTTCTCCCTTAAGTGCTGCCAAGAACTTGGATGGAGGGCCCGTTCCGGGAAGAGTTATCACCAGAGAACTACACGGAGGATGGGCCAGGCTGGTGGGCTGGGGGAGCTCCGAAGGGAAGTTGCCTCCCAGTGTCTCCTCAAGGCAGGAAAATGTTTGTTTATCAAGCATTTGCGCTCCCACCTTCCTGAGAACCCTCTTCCCTCCCTCCGAAGCCCCCGTCCCCACCTTATTCCCAGCTCAGCATGGCTGCCTGACTGATTGCCCTGGGTCTCAGTCTTATGGGGCTCCCACATGTATGTCGTTACATTTGTTTTTCTCCTGTTAATCTGTCTTACGTCTACTTAATTATCAGACCCGCCAAAGAACCTGAAAGGGCAGAGGAAAAATTGTCCTCCCCCAAAGTAGAAGGAGAAACTGAATGGGATTTACTTAGAAAACAGAGATGGCCTGAGTTTAGGGGTCCCAGGGCATGTGACTCAGCTGATTTGTGGTTCTTGGTACTCGGCAATTAGAACAGCAAAACGAAGTCATCTAAGCAAGCGGTGTGTGTTTTGAGAAAGAATTATCACACACCTAAGTGTCTTATCTGCCTCCTATACCCGACAAAGTATATTCCGCAGGAAGTACTTTCTGAGGGAAACAAGCCCCACCCCCTGAACTGTGCCTTGTTTTACAGTGTGGTCATGTTCTAACTTCCTGTAACAAACAATTGAACGAAAGGAAACCCTTTTTAGGCTGTCTACGCAAACAAGCAAAGGACGGGCTAATTTTCTAGTTGAACTGCTCTAATGTGTGATGAAGTCAACAGGCATCCTATTCTTTCCAATAGGCCCTCCAAATCCCCCCACTTCCCACCCAGTTTCCCTTTCCTCTGAAAGGAAATAATGAAAATCAAATTGCATTTCCTTGGCTAAGGCTAAAGCAGGCGGTTAGCATTTATTGGCACGAACCAGGTAACAGAGATGTACTTGGGAGAAAGCACACCTGGGCCTCAAAGGCATGAACCACCGCCCTCCTTCTGGGAGCGGGGAGACCTGGCTCCATAGCACTAGACCTCTGACGCTGTCTGACCTCCAGAGCCCGAGATTCTTCATGATGGAGAAAAAGTCTTTCTCCAATGGGCCCTGCTGAGGATGAAATGAAACTGTGCTGATAAAGGGCTTAGCAAAAATGTTTTGTTACAATCGACATCTGCACCCCCCCCCTCCTAGTTTTATTTTTCTCTATAACACATATTACCAATCAATATATCAGACACCTTACACATTTATTGGGTGTTCTTTGTATTACTAGACCCCGTGACCAGTGAGGGGAGGGTTCCATCGACCATTGAATCAGCACCATTAGGATCTTTCATGCTCATAGTGTCGCTGGAGAGAGCCTGGCACGTAGCAGTTGCTCAATCTACGTTCACTGAATGACTGCTCACCTGGTCTTGTCTGCTTACAACAGAGAGGGAATGTCCGTGCTACTGGGCCAAGGTGATGGCCAAAGTGAGGATTCCCCCTGGCTGTGCATAAAAGGAAATGGCTTTGAAGGGGAGGTGGGGGGAGAAGGGAGAAGGGTCAGGCTGGGGTTAGAGATAATGTATGACCTTCTCTCCACTCTGTTGTCTGGTCACGGGCTCTAGTAATACTTTTGTTTCCTCGACACATCTAATGAAAGCATCAGATGAAAATTAAAAGGAACCTTCAAGCTATTATATTAAAATCTTGTTAGAGTCTCTCCAAAGTTAAATCCCTGCCCTAGCAGGGTTGGCTCAGTGGATTCAGTGTCGGCCTGCGAACTTGAAAGGTCTCTGCTTCGCTGCGGGTCAAGGGCACATGCCCGGGTTGTGGGCTCAATCCCCAGTGGGGGACTTGCAAGAGGCAGCCAATCCATGATTCTCTCTCATCATGGGTGTTTCTATTTCTCTCTCCCTCTTTCTTCCTCTCTGAAATCAATTAAAAAAAAAAAAAACCTTTATATATATTTAAAGTTAAATTCCTATAATGTTGCCCCTTACAGTGATATTTTTAAAATTAAGAGCCAAAGCTATCAGGTTGGCTTTGTACACAGCCCAAGAAAATGTATCAATGCAAATGATCAGTTCAAATTACCAGAATGAAGAATAAAAGTGGTTTTGCCTAGCATTCCAAGCACTCTCCTTAGAAGGCTAGTGGTAACATTTCACTCCAGGGTTGGCTCTTTCCCATGGGGCCTCATGGAAATGGGCAGTGGTGTGAGCTCCCTTCCCTGAGGTCCCTCCATCAGTCAACTCCCACAGAGTGCCCTGGGACACCAGGCCCGGGCCCCATCCAATCGAACGCAGGAAAACCCCTATCGAATTCCAACCCAGTGAGTTCTGGGGAGTGCTGCCCGGATTCCCAGCTACCTTGATTTTAATACAGACAAGCTCCCTGGGCGTCAGGAAGTCGGTGCATTGGGTAACACATTTCCTACCCTCCTGCCTCAGCTCCTCTGCAGGCAAAACACTCAGCAGGAGCAGCAGCTTTCACAGCAGACAATTTGACTGGAATAAATTCCCACCTTGAAGCCTGCTCACCATGTGGATGCTGCCCCTGCCCCTGGAAGGTAGTCCAGAGGGTCTCTGACCCCTCCCCCAACATGCAGGAGTACACACACACACACACACACACACACACACACAAACAAGCTCACCAGCCCCTCCTCACATCCCAGACTGTCTTATCTACCTCCCCTCACTGTGCTATTCTTTTAGGAATAACAGCTCTTCCCAGATTATCATTATTTTTTAAAATTCAGCTCTCTGCCCCTTGTTAAGAACCCCACCCAAACCCCGCAGTTTATGCTCACTTTCCAGCTCTTTCCGTGATTAGCTTAAGTAAGAAAATAATGCCCATTACCAATCTATGAAAAATGAACGGTTCAGTTATTTATAGCAACCCCCAATAACGCCGCTGCTCTTATGAATAAGCCCTCAGGATTCCCTTTGCCAGTCTTCTTCTAAAGAATATCTGAAGCCATGCTCAGAGCCGACAGCATATAAAGCCCAGAGAGCAAGTAGAAGTGGAGGCTGGAGTGGAAGAGAGCAGAGAGCAGAAAGAGACAGACACACATCCGCATGTCTCCCAATACTCAGTACCTGGGGAGAGGGCCATGATTTTATCCGGGAGACGGCAGTTCAGTTAAGGATTGATTATTTAGTGCTGGCTTTGTGCCGTGGGCTACAGATATAAAGGCACAGATACAGCTCCCTGAATGGTGATTTCAACCGAAGCGGGTCATGACAGTGGGATGATGGTGATGGTGATGGTGATGGTGGAAGGGGGTACTCAGCACCAGGAGAGATGCTGACCATGGCCTATGACGTCAGGACGGGCTTCACGGAAGAAGATGACCCACCAGTATCAACCTTGGGTCCAAAAGATAGTTTTTCTCATCAACCCAAGTGCAGGGTACTTAAACCCTACAGCAACCTGCAAACCAGAGGTCAGCAATAAAGCTTTATTTATCAAAACAACCAGCAGATGGGCCACATCTATTGGTTGTTTTTGTAAATAAAGCTTTATTGAAACACAGTGCATTTGTTTGCTCTCTTCTATGAAGACTTTCAAGCTATAATGACCGAAGTGAGTGGTTGTGACAGATGTCATACGTCCTGCAAGGCTTAAAGTATTTCCTACACGACCCTCTGGGAAAGCTCGCTGACCCCCTCCCAGACCACCCTTTGTCTTCTCTAGTGTTTCCGATAATTCATCCTTTCCCAGTTTTCTGTACCGTCAAGTTTCCTACCGTAATGTCATCAAAACACACGAAAAGAGAAAACATGTTCTGTATGAAGTTTCATTACCACAGGGAACATTCAAAACAGCCTCCCAACACACCTGAGAAACAAAACAAGCTATTTATCGTGACCTTAGAACACGATGGAGATGAGAGAGCTAAAGGGTACTGGTCTGAAGGAAGCTGGCAGCCGAGAGGCCTCAGCCCCAGGTCTGTCCCCGGGAGCTCACCTTTGACATCATTAAAGCTCGTTTCCGAAAACCCTTCACTCAGGTCGATCAAGGTCCCCTCGGACTTGCACCGGGGGAGGCCGCTGGCGTTGGCGGCTCGGATCCGCTGAGCTGCCATCCTGACGCTCTTCCCGGGGGAGCCGCTACGGTTCCATGTTCCTTCCTCCAGCGACTCCAGCGACTGCGGAAGCGTCAGCCTCAGGCAACCATGCTGCCCGCAGTGCCCGCCGTGCAATGCTTCTTCCTGTAAGCAGAAGAAGGAAACATTTCCCTGAGTAAGTAAAACATGGGTTAAAAAGTAACTTCATGGGAGGCGGGAAGCCTCTTTCTTCCAGAGCCCATGCCCACAGAGACTGTCATTTCCTCCACCGGGGCCCGTGCACCCGCCCAGCAGGGCTCTGGCTGCCGTGGGTGCCTCTCTTCCAGGGGGCAGGAGTGGAGGGAGGGTGAGATTGGCTCTAGCACCTGGCTCACTAGACAGAGGAGGACAACACGGATCTGTGCAGGCCACACTCCAGGGTTTGGGAGAGGAGGGTTAGATCTGTGGCTGCCCGCAGTGGCTGGGTCCCTTGTCCGAACAGCCTCGGCAGTGACTCCGGCCCCTGGGCTAGGGCTTAGTGCAGTACCTCTGCCCACACTCTCCTTAGAGCCTCTCGGGACACTAAATAAACAAACAATCACAAATAAAATATGCAAGTGGCCACGTGTATGCATAGGTATGTTCATGTAACCGATGCAGGAGAAACCCTCCACTGACGGAGCCGCGGTGCCGTTCCCGAGGGAGCACAGGGCGTTTCTGTGGAAAGAGCACAGGCATCGGCCCTGAGGCCTCGGCTTCTTCCAGGGAAGGCGCACACGGCTTTTAGGGGGTTCTGGAGACACACGAGATGTCTGACCATGAGCTGACCTTCTCCAGGATTCAGGAAAAGGAACAGCGAGGAGCCTATTTCAAAGAAGTACCTTTCATCTGCTCTCCAGCAGAAACAGGCAGACACACCACAGCGGGCCACCGCCAGCCACGGCTGGCCTGCATCCTGAGAACATTCTGGGGGCAGGCGCATTGCATCCCAGTGTAACTGGGCTCGTGCAACCCAGTCTGAGATCCCTTGTTTCTCTGTCCAAAGACGCCCTTCAATGCAACTTCTGACCCAGGTGTCCCCTTTAAGATGGAACAAGAGGGGCCCAACATCGCGTGCCCTGCAGCCTCTGGGCCATGGTGACGACCTAGCCCTTCCCCTAAGCCTCTTCCCCAAGGTTTTGCATGCGGTGGGTGCAGTGAGCAACCCCAGGTTTGCATCCACGCTGGGCATGACCTTGAGTTCAGTATTTAGATCAACTAAAGCCTCAGTTTTCCTCTCTGTAGCATGTGGTAAGGAGGGCACTGTCCTGAGAATTCATGGTCCCCGTGGAACGCTTGGAACAAGGAGCTCCGTGGCTGAGGTCCCTGCAGCTGGGGCACCAGCAGCCCTGGTCCTGGTGTGGGGTTTAGTCTTTGCTCCAGAGAACACAGGAGCCACAGAAGGTGAGAAAGTGGCCTTTGGCTGCAGATGAGAAACATGGAAGCATTGATGATGTCACCTTTGAACATTACTGACACAGTTTCGAGGGTAGACTGCAGGTGGATGGCAAGGAGAGGAGGCATCAGGAGCAGTCCCCTTCCCCCTAAAACCCACACAGAGGACCACACAGAAGTCAGGGGGCTAGGAGAGTGCTGGCCTTAGCTCGCTGGGGCACCTACAGACACCGAGGCAGCTTCCTGGGGAGCACCAGGAAGAATTTGCAGGTTGGCAAGACGCAATGAGAGGAACACTTCAGAGGGACCACCTTCCTAGCTTCCTTATCACGCACCGCCCATAGGAGGCGGCCTGGGTGGGATCAGGGCGAAGGGGTGGGCAGAACAAAATCGCAGACCCCTGGCACTTTTGGAAACAGAGCATCGTTTTTGTTTGTTATTGATGGGAGGAGAGAGTTAGGAGCCAGAGCCAGGGAGAGATGGAAAGTGTGAGCCGTTGTATGGAGAGATCTGCAGTCCTTTCTAAAACAAAGATACCCTCACAGAGGCTACCATTCACGGCACAGATAAGCCACGGACTGCGCAGCCCTCGCCACTTATCAGCCGGAGCGCAGCCCGGCACGAAGTCCGGCTCCCCGGTGCCCAGAGCACAGCCTGCACGCCGAGGTCAATGCACCATTCACACGGTCTGCCACGGGAGGGGGAGGGGGTTTGTCCCGTGGTGCTCGGTGCCCCGTGGGAAGTCCAGAACGGCGACTTCTCTCCTGTGGCAGTGGGGGACGGTCCTTAGACAGAATCCTGACACCTATCCGAATCTCCGTGGTGAGCCTGGGGCACCATCGCCATTTGGAGACTTCTGTTGTAGAGTGGAAGGGAGGGGAGAGACAAACAGCGATACGAGACACCTGATTGGTTGCCTTCCACACAGGGCTGTGGATGGAGATGCCACTGAGAATCGAACCTGTGACGCTTCAGCCTGTAGGCCGATGTGTATGTGTCCAGCTGGAGCCAACCCGGCGAGGGCCGAAGATAGGCACAGAAAGGGCGGCTGGCCCCTCTGGACCAGGCCTCGAAGGCTCCCTCCGCCTGGCACCCCCCCGACCAGATACAGAGAGCTGAGGGTTCCAAGGGGAGCCCTGCACCCCCACCTGCTCACTCGCCCAGGTAAGGCTCCGGAAAGTTTTCCTGGGGTCTCCCCAAGCCCACGGGGTCCACTAGCCTTGCTCATCTGCAGCCATGGGGTCCCGGTGCCTTCCAGTCTCCAGTGAGGCCCTACTTCCTGCAAAGCTCTTCTTCCCAGTCAGGTCATTCCCCAACTCAAACCCTCAGGGGATTGATTGCCTGCTGCCCTTAAACCCAAAATGTTCAGTGTTCAGGGGTGTGATCTCCGCCCAGAGAATCAAGGCCAACATCTCCCACTGCTCCAGCACCATCTACACTCCAGCTCCCGCTCCGGACTCAAGACCCTCACGGTGCCTCCAGGAAAACCTCTCTCCGCCTCTTTTTGCTCCCCCTGTCCCCCACCGGCACAGCCCTGCAAACCACAGTGAATCACCTGTAGCCCTCAGCTCTGCAGTCAACGTCCCCGAGCCTCAAATTCAAGTCTCGTGAGCTCATACTGCACCCTTTGAATTAGTCCTCACTTTATTAGGAGAAATGACAGAATCTGCTTTATAAGGCGTTCATGAAGAAGGTTCAATATACTGCATTTTGCTAAGCATCACACTATGACTACAAACATGTTTATATGTATTTTTAAGTATCTAAATGTCTCACTGTATTTACTATACATTATACTATTCTTCCTATTTACGTACTGTTTTCCTATATCACTATCTATTTTTATTATTGTCTTATGTTTACCATTTCCCTATTTCTGCACATGTTTTAAATAACTGCAATAAAAACTTTAAAAACTTAAATAGGAAACATTTGTCACCTGCCATCCCAGACATGTGTCAGGAGTGAGTGTGTGTGTGTGTGTGTGTGTGTGTGTGTATGTGTCCCCTTGGCTTGGGAAAACTCTAAGGAGCCATAAGCTCAGGTGTCCGGGCAGCCTGAGCCCCCTCACAGCACACGTGGACATGGGGGAGCGGGTGTTTCCTGCTCAATTGACACGTGACATCTGAGCCTGGAACTCAGACCACTGATGGCTCCCCTTCAGGATGATGGGTACCTTGAACCTCCCAGGTGCAAATCCAACTCTGGAGTTCGCCCCAACCCTCCATTTGTCACCTTTCCCCAAGAAAAAGCCAAGTCAGACAAAACGTAAAAGTCGAAGTGCCGAGACGGTGCAGGGGCGGGTGGTGGCGGGGTCACTGCTGTCAGAACCCATCTCAGCAGCCCCTAAGTCCATGCACAGCGCCAAGCTCCCAGGTCTTTACACGAGTTTCCAGAATGTTCCTGCTGTGTCTGATTCTCAAAGAGCAGTGGTTCTGCAGTTAGCGAATGAGGAATGTGCACAGGGTTAGGGAGTAGTTTGTGGAGAGGAAAACTCAGACTGGTGAGTGGACTTCGGTTTAAAGCGATCAAATGGAGTTTAGCAACCCACCATAAGAAAAACAACTTAATAATGATAACAGAATCCTCACCATCCAGTTAACCAGGCCTAAAAAGTCCAGAGCTATTTCTGGGAGCCCAAATCTTTGCCGGATTGACTTGAATCCTTCCATTTGTGTGGAGGTATTTTTCCTAGTCCAGACCTGGTCTCACAGCACTCGGCATATAGTGGACAATACTGACCATCTACGTGCTCTGGACAATATTCTGCAGACCACATCAGAAGCATGTCTCTCTTCCTGCCAGAAGGAAGCTGTGCCCAGGTCAGTGGACTGTGTGTTAAACGAAATAAAAAAACAACAACCCACTGATGGGATTGCCTGGGTGACCGGGCCTACAAGTCTGGCCTCCCTCCATGAGAAACTGGACTTCATCTGCAGGCCCCCAGGGTGGTCACCTCTCCGGGCCGGTGTGCAGCTGTATGCACCCTTGGCCAGGGTGGCTGGCCAGCTGTGGAGCTTGGGACATCTGAGAAGGGCAGGCTGTAGCATCCCCCACCCCCCAACCCATCCCCACCTGCACCTGGACTTGCAGAAGCCACCTCAGTGCCCTGGGGGTGGGGGTGGGGGTGGGGGGACGACGACACGACACGACACGACACGACACGACACGACACGACACGACACAGGCCTAGAACAATCCGAAGGGGCATTACAGCTTACTTCCATCTGACTCATTCCCAACGCGTTTTCCTTTTCTTGTAGAAAGGCCGATTCATGTAGAGAGAAAAGAGCCTGCGCCTGCTCCTCTCGGAACCTCTGAGCAGACGCCATCGTTGTGCACTTACGTATTTACAGATTCTGCTGCAGGCGCGGGAACCGCACGCAGCCCCTCCTCAGATCTCAAGAGCACAGACCACCCCGGTGGGCCTATCTGCCAACGTCTGTCCCAGGAGCAATGCAAGAACCAACCAACCAACCAACCAGGAAAAACAATAGGTCACGGGCACTCTGCGGTGCAGACTACACCACGGGGGGCCGCAGGGGGAGCACAGGGACCAGCTAGTCTCCCCAGTGGCTCCGACCCACGACCCATGTGGGTGCAGG